CAACCAAAATCTCTTCATCAACACTTATGTAACTGTTGCTTTAGAAACGACTGAGCTTGCCCCCTCGATTTCAAAGCGGCCTACCTCAGAAACATCTGAGCTTGTGTCAGCAGCTAGTAAAGCTGCTTCTTGATCTGATTGAGTTGAAGGAGAAAAGTCACTGCTGACTGCTAACAGAGAATGAAATAACAAATATGCATTAAGTTTATCTGTTGTGAATGTACTGTCTTCCCCGAAAATCATCACAGTAAATAAATTTATAGCCTGTGTACAGCCATCCTCTTCTCTCAAGAAAAAATCAGGAAAGCTCCGAATTTTTCCCGAGGAGACGGGGGCTGTACACAGGCTGATAAATTACTGCACTGCTGGTAAACAGTGAAACTTCAACTTAGAGACACCTTTAAATACTGTTCATTTAATGACCCTAATAGGGCCGTTTATACGAGAGAAAATAAGCCGCGGCTTACTCTGGCCGCGGTTTACATAAGACGCGAAAGGAACCATTTATACGAGTACGGCTTATATTAGACGCGAACTGCTCGTATAAATGGTTCACGGCTTAGTTCGCGGCCAGATCGGTCCAATGATGACGTAGTTTGGTTTGATGCCTCGTTTTGGGGTAATTGCGTTTGCATCTCGCAACAAAGGCTTGGGCGAGCAAAAAAGCTAAACGACTGGCTTTGGCCCGTAAAAAAACAGCGTTTGAAACGCTGTTTTTTTTCACTGTCTTTTTCATTTTAATTTAACTGTCTCTTCGGCTATGATTGGTTGTTGGGTTCCCAGGTAATTAATTGGTCAAAGAAAATTGGGAAACTTATGCGAAAACCCCGACGAAAGATTCGACAGCGATCCGTTGAGTGGTTTCATCGAGATGTCCCCGCAATCTCAAGCTCGCTGCATATGAGCAGGATTTGTTTTTCTTCTGGGGCACTCCACACATTTCTTTTTCACGTGAATCTCTATCCGCCATTTTCCACTTTGTAAATGTAAATGTAAAGAAAACTCATTTTCCCGCCACTGCAACGCGCGTCTCTCGGCCGTGAAGGTCTGGGATATAATTGAAAACAGAGCATGCGCAGCAGTCGTTCACGGCTTCAGCAAGCCGCGGACAACGTTTGAGTGCATTTATACGAACACTTTCACGTCCAAGGTAAGCCGCGGCTTGGAGAAGCCCATCCCAAAACCCCTCGGCCAGGATAAGCCGCGGCTTGAGCTGGCCTTGGGTTGAATAAGCCGTGGACATACATTTTGTACCATTTATACAGGGTGCTCGCGTCTTATGTAAGCCGCGGCTATAGTAAGCCGCGGCTTATTTTCTCTCGTATAAACGGCCCTAATATCTATTTCACTTCTGTTATGAAAGCTTATCGTATGTCGATTAATTGTTTAATGCGCTATTATTTATCTGTCTCTTTGCGAAAACGTTTTTAGGAAAGTAACTATATGCGCTCGATAAGCTGACCATTGTTACATAATGCACCACGACTGCTGCAGTGAAAATGTAACAATGTCGTAAGAAACAAAGAGCAACGTAATAGGTTTGCAGCAGAAAAGATAACCAGTCAATGTTGGCCGAACGTAAGCAAACGGTATCAATCACTTTTTTTGGATTTGATTTCAGCTTTCAATTGTTTGAGCCTAAACTGCAGACAGTCAATAGCTTACAAAGAGCTTCCCAACTCACATGATTTTTCCATTAAAATATTCTTGCAAATCCGGTAGTTTTCATCTTCAATCGTTGTCTTCAACCTGACACTCTTCAAGTCCAGTTTCTTTTTTATGTCATCTGTCACAAGGTATCTCTCAGCAACGTCATTAAGGTGACCAGTCTGATAATCACTCCACAAACGTTCAAGACTCTCCAGGGAGGGGCACTGAAATGTTATTTCTAGAGATCCTACACCCACAGATTTCAACGCCAGGTTGTACGTCTCCTGTATATGTTCTATCAGGCCAGACACCCCCTCGGCGGTTGAAATGTTACGAAATCGGATGTACACTTGAATTTGTCGTTCTAGAGTTTCACGGACTATTTTACTCTGTTCATCATTCAGTTCTTGAAAACAGTGCTTGGTAATTATATCTGAAAACAAAAAGTAAGTCGCCGAGAAATGATAACCCTTTTATTTAAGAAACTAAATAAAAATGTTGACAAAACTTATTTTAGTCACTTAGTGTGTGTTTTAACCGGGTTCCCAGATTTGAGTCATTCACTAGCAAATTGTTAAATCTGAGTGGTATAAAGGGTAGCAGTTCTGTTAAAGGCTTGCACACTTTTGTTCTCGTCTGAGACACATGGTATCTCTCAGCAATGTCATTAAGGTGACCAGATCGAAAGTCCTCTATCCTCTCGAGGGTGGGATACTGAAATTTAATTTCAAGAGATCCGATGCCCACAGATTTCAAGTCCAAGTTGTACGTATCCTGTATATGTTTAATCAGAGCAGCATTCTGTCGGCAGTTGAAAGCGTGCAATATTTAGTGCAAAATTGTATTTGTCTTGTTAAAATTTAACGAATTATTATGTCCTGCTGTACTCTTTACTCAGGTCTGGATAACGATGCCTTCATGGTACCAATGTCTGGAGGTAAAGATAAACCTACTGAGAAATGTCAACATGTACGAATCCTAATAAGTTCTCTTTTTGTGTATTTTCTTGCCACACTAAATAAAATGCTGAACTGATTCAAATAACATTACAGTGCGTCGGTTAGTAAGCTACGTTTAGTCAACTTAGAAGATGTGACACATATAAATACAGTCTGTTCAGTTACGTTCAGTGAGTGGGCAGTATGGTTTTTTCACTACTACAAATTATACAGTAGACACTCCTCAGTGACCAAAAAGGGACCTCTCACCCCAACCTTCGCTCATACCAGAAGCCATAAGCAAGAGGAAGCGGATAATGTTTTTCCATACCTGGAATAAGCTTACAGCCACTTTTAGGTTGACTTCCTGCTGCAAAATGAGCTCTCTTCTCGGCACGGAAAGTTTCTTCATTTCTTGGCTTGTTGCCATTTTCAGACCCTGTTGGTTGGTTATAATGTTATAGTTTCATTGTGAGGGGAAAACAACGAAGGTCCCTTTGCGCTGAAGAGAAAGTTAATAGCGTGTAGAGTTGTTTTTATAGAAAACTATTAAATACAAAATATCTACTTGGTGTACTGTAATGGAAAGTGCTTTAGGATTGCATATCATTGCCCTATCCAGTGGACTGTCTACTTTGTACTGCTTCAGCTATCTATATTTTTCATGATAGGACATTCACATTTATCACTTATTTTAATTTACACACAGTACCTCAAATGGTCAAAGACATTTTCCACTCGGTCCATGCTGTAATACTACTGTTAATGCCTACTATGAATGAATTATTTACTTCAAAAGGGTGTGTAATTTTTTATTAACTGTGACTGCAGTCACAGTTAACTTCTTGACATCAACACTACTAGAATAGGAAATTACCGGAAAAAAACAAAATCAATAGGTAAGTAATCGCTGCCAATCGAGCCAAGAATACCATAAACATCTAAAATATTTCAGGAAAGCTGATTGTGCAGTGCCCCAATTACAATATTTAAGATATGTTCTCAACATGTAGGCAAAAGTCAAAACTGCATGTGTACAGTACTTTTCTCATGCCTTGTGGGCTTTTTCCTCGGAACAGTCAATAGCATTTTGTAACTACAGTCGACTCCCGATAACTCGAACCTTCCAGGGAAATCGCAAAGAGTTTCGGGTAATCGGGAGTTCGAAGAAAATAGCCGAGAGTAAGGTAAAAAAAGAGTTTTTACTGCACAGTGAACATTTTAATCACATTTCATTGTAGAAATGTCAAGTGAAAATGAAAAGATAGTTTTAGATTATAAATCACAACGTAACGTAACAAAACATAGCCTAAATAGAGTATGCGTTTTACTGTTTTACGAAGAAAAGCTGCTTCACGTTAGCCTGTGACAATCAACATTAGCCTCCACTAGTAAACTATACTCCTACAACACGTCAATAGGAAATCCAAAATTCAATGTTTCGGACGCCAGTAAACGGCATTTTTCCCGACTTTTTTAAGGGCTCAAAACATGGTTCGAGTTTTCGAGGGTAAAATTATATAGAAAATGAAATGATGGTAAACGAAAATTGGTTCGAGTTAGCGGGAGTTCGAGTTATCGAGCGTTCGAGTTACCGAGGGTAAAATTACAGTGAATGTAAGACGGAAATCCAGGGGAAATCGATTTTGGTTCAAGTTAGCGTGAGGTTCGAGTTAGCGAGGGTTCGAGTTATCGGGAGTCGACTGTATTACTCATATTCATCATTTTGCTTTGTCATTTACTCCTTTACAGCGAAACCTCTTACCATGGACCATTTTCCACATTCTCTCCACGAGAGCTTCGCATTGTTCCTCCCAACTGTACATCACTCCATAAGATGCTTTAAGTGCTTTAATCTCTTCAAGGCGCATTCGATGCCTGACACGAACAGCTTCAATTGCTTCTGCCCATTTTGTAGGATCATCTGAATTTACAATGCATGAATAACCATGAAGAACATTCTCTAATGCTTTGGCAAATCCCGACTTACTACCAACAAGAATGGGTAGGCCTGCAGATAGGGACTCGAGGGCAACAAGACCAAATCCCTCTGATTTTGATGGCATAATGGCAAGGTCAGCTTCACACAACAGATCTTTCATTCTCTCTCTACTTTGTATAAATTTTCTAACAGTCAACTGTGCTTCTGCAATACCATGATGAAGAAGTTTTTCTCTGACTTCCTCTTGTTTTCCTTCAGGTGCTCCGACAAAGATTAGATGATAGGGTTTGTTTTTTAACCGCTGATCAGTAAATGCTTGAGCAGCAATGTTGTATCCTTTGAGTTCAAAGTCCTCATCATCCCCACGACCAAATAACAACACTTTGAATTCACCATCCTCGTTAGGATCTTGTTTTGCAACTAAATCCCCAAACTCCCTTTGAAAAAGACCTGGAGTAATAGACAAAACGTCATGATCTGTCTTACATCGCTGCAAATATGAAGTGTATGCTTCTTTCAGTTTAGGTCCCACAGGCACAACAAGATCAGCAAGTTTGCAAAGTTCAACTTCTGATTCGTGTTTTGTTTCACCTTTTGAAATGGGGTCACTGTAGCATTTGTATCTGCTAAGGTCCTCTGGAGCAGTGTGCACCACTTGTATCCATTTACAATTTGGAAATTTAGCAGAGTCTATAATGAATTGTACTTGCCGACCAAGTTTTACACCATGACCAACAACGATGTCCATGACATGATCCTTGGGTGGTGAGCTTAACCAAAGAAGACGATCAAATGCGGCACGTCTCTTCGCCTCAACGATAGTGATTCCATAGGTAAGGGCTTCATTTTTTTCTTCATGATTGCAAGCTCCCTCGGGGACTAACAAAGAAACCTTCACTGCTGAATGATTTGAAAGGTGAATAGCAAGCTCTCTGTTTATGGTTGACAAGCCACCAGCAGATGAACTCCACTCACCACCAAGAAGAGTAACATGTAACGCTGGAATACTGGTCTTAGGAGAGCGAACCTACGTAAACATGGCAATAACAGTGAATAGCTAGGAGATCTTTGGCTCAAAAGACATAGCAGGTTTTGGTAACTGATGACTGATTTAGTACATGGTAAACTGTTGGCTCTTCTGTTCTAATAATAATAATAATTATTATTATTATTATTATCATTATCATTATCATTATCATTATCATTATCATTATCATTATCATTATCATTATCATTATTATGGGGCTTTTCAGGGATAGCTGAAACTAATATCATGGGTGGTGAATTACTCCTTAATTTTGGCACAAAATTTCATCGCTACCCTGCCTCTTTTATTACACCATGCCGACATAATTTGCTTTTTAATAAAAAAATTGTCACCATGATAATTGTATTTCTAACTCTTTGCATTGATCCCTTGTCATCTAAAACTAATAAGACAATGATTAAGTTTCTTACACAATACTTGCAGGGTCTTGGGCAAAAAGAGAGCTTACATGTATATGGAAAAATTTAGTTGGGAAGAAAAGTGCCTTCTTACATGTATAAGAACTTATTGCATGTAAGTCATCAATAAGTGATGTCTATATTAATCATGATCAGTGCTAATGGACTAGCATTAAAAGATAATTAAACCTTATTCAAATAGTACACCAGTCACAGAAAAAAATGAAAATGAAAGAAAACAAATTAATAGCAATTTAAACAAAAATTTGTTTTATATAATCAACTAGGTTGATACAATAAATAAATAAATAAATAAATAAATAAATAAGCCCCTCATTAATTTAAAAAAAACATAATTCCATATTAAAATTCAAAAATGTTATAGAAAATTGAAAAGACACCTATCAATAAAACACAGCCGTTTAAAATGTTCAGTCTTAATTTGATGAAGTAGAAAAGAGTGACTGCGATTCCTTGGCAATCTTGTTTTAGTGGGTGGGAGGAGATCTGCCAAAGGGACCTCGGTAGAATTTGTGATGCTCTTCACAACTTATTATCTGAGGCCTGTAGAAGGCTTAAAACAGGTATGGCCTTCTTGAGAAAGCCAAACAAACTGCTTTCTTCTGAAACTTATCAATTTTAGAAAGAAATACTCATTATAACTTGCAGTACCCCACACTGAAATGCCATTGGTCAGAAGAGGTATAATCAGACCATGGAAGAGATCTAGACTATAGCCATCAATATTTCGAATTTACAGTTTTGTTTGAGAGTTTCAGAAATGAAGGTTCCTTTTTAAATCCAAAGGAAAAATGTTACATTTATGATAGTGACAAATATGCCAAATTCAATGGATTACAAATACTTGTTACTTTATTTTTTTTTTCTAAAACACTTAAACTTCAATTAGGTGTATACATATGTGACCATACAAATAGACTAAAGTTGACTACAAACAAACAATGCAAATTTAATCATAAATTTCTTGTACCTTGTGTACTGAAGGCACCCATCTGTCGATATGTCTGCTCACTGTCAGTCAATATGTTAACCAAGTCTTGGTCAATATTGGTTAACATTAGTCAACAAGTCGACCATGTCAGTCAACATGTCAGCTGACATATCAACACTATAGTATAATTTGAATAAAATATAGCATTTGTGAAAATAATTAAGAAAAAGACTGAACCTCTGAATTGTCTAGACTCCGTGTTGCTTTCATGGTCTCAGGATGATCAGATGAGGCAGCCATGACTAATGAATAGAAGGAGAATATATAAGTCCTTGCTGTTATAAGTAACATATTAATCACACTGCCCACAATTCAGATTATAATGAAGTGACTCTCTCATGTCATTGTTGTAGTTAAGCAAAGGTATTTATCCAGTGAATAGTGGTATGAATCACTGTTTAAATGAAAGGGTCAGACTCACAGGCCTGACATTAGGTAAGGATTTGTAGATTCTGTTGACACTGACTAAGCAAACACAATATTATAGACCCCAACTTGCCTATGCACTTCTTTTATGGGATTGACTCTCACTTACTTGTTTGGCTTTTTGGTTTTTAGAGGTAAACAACAAAGAACACAGGCAACCAGTTTCCATGCAGGATGTTCAATATTGTTCATTGCAATTGGGTAGTACTGAAATGATCCAATTGGTTTAAATACAATAATGTCATGTCTCCTGTCTTTTAAGTTCCTGTCCTTTCCTAAAGACCTTTCCCGTATTCCTGTAAACATTTAAGGCATCAACTCGAGGCTAGGGTGGACAAAATATGGTGATTTGTACGAAATTGTCCACCCTTTGCTCACTGGAGCATAATGAGGGAAAGGTCTATGGATGTTTAGTCTGTATCACTCCTCGCAAAAGCAATTTATAATCTTGTCACACGCCGTCTTAGTGGCGAGCAATCTTGCCTGGTCCATGCATATTTGTTTGAGGCTATATATCGGGCACCTCCGGTTGGTATCTGCCTTGACGTCACGCAGCATTTGTGTTTCCAGGCAACTATTTTTGGTGCACTATCATGTTTCATTCATGAAAGGCTGATCTGTGAAATAATGTTTACTCGCTGAATCACGAGCAAATCACGAGCAACTTCTCTTGCAAATATCACGGAGCCGCAAACGCAAAAATAGTGGAACATTGAAGCAATTTGGGCCAATATTTTCCAAAAAAAGAGCGAAAATCAAGATACAAGAGCAATTTTCAGTGCGTTTCACTTCGCAGACAAATTGTTTGCTTACGAATATGTCACGTGAAGATTCTTGAACGCTTATAACGATTTGGCTTTGTAATTACCCTCGAAACCTTGTCTTTTTTCAGCCTGAAGTCTAGTTTGGAATTCATTATAATAACACCACACAATATGCAAAAAACAAGAAGAAGTAAAGAAAGAACAAATATGGACCTTCATGACAATATTTGCCAAGGATCACCCATCCAGTTCCTAACCCCGCCCGACAGGGCTTACCTTGATTGCTGCTAAATTGAGTTTCCCAAGGGTTATTGCGAGATACATATTTTGGAGGGTCTTGACGGGGTTAACTGACAACTGACAACTGACAACTGACAAATGGGCAAAATTTTTAACTGCATGACAACTGACATTTGTTCCCCCCCCCCCCTCATCCAGACCCTTATTTCGAACCCCTTGAATGCAATCTTCAATGGTGCCGATAACAAAAACTACATGGGATAGCCTTCCATAGGGGGTTGGGGTGACTATGTACTTTGTTTATTGTTTTAAACAGACAAGTTAACATTTACTCAAACTTCACAAAATGTCCCTTCCTTGTTCATTTGCATGCACTCGCGAACGTCTTGGCGATCACAACAGGATTGATTGTGTCCGCCATTGTCTAGTGACAGTGAACAAGCATGTAGCTGTTTAACTGATCTTTCTAAGGTATGTTTTGAGGCGTATCAGGGCAACAAAAACTTATTTCCGAGACTCATGTTTTTTAAAAAATGGAAGTTGGTCACGCATACAGCAAACTTGAATGCAGCAAAACCCAACTGACTCATTGGAAACCCAATCAACTAAAGTTTTGTGAAAAAATAGTGTTAATTTAAATCTGATTATAATGAGTTGACCGTGGGCGGGGGGGGGAGGTAAACGCTTCTGCCGCCTATGTTAGTAGTTGCAACATTTCAGTGAAGGGAAAGGCGTTATATCTTGGGGCCAATTAATTGCCCTTAATAATTAAAAAGCTCCTGTACTCTTTAATTTCTAAACACATAAGCTTACTGTGTAAGTCTTGATTCCTTGATGCCAGTTCAAACAGACGTTCAAAGCCGGAAGTGAGTTGATCGTATGATTTTCTCATCATAATACATTAAAAACATTAACACTTTTCATCTCGGTTAATGCTGGTTAAAGTTACAAGTTACGGTTAAAGAAGAGTTCATTAATATTGAAGGGAGAAATCATTTTCTTGGACTTCTCTAAAGGTTGGAGCTGCATTTTAAGGATAGCTACATGCGAAAATTGCTCATTAAATGCAACATTGCTGCACAGTCATTAGTTAAAGAGGACACTTAAAGGGGAAAAAACAGTTGATTTAGAGACAAGAATCCTTACCCTGCTATAGCTACAGCTTCGTTTCTCGCTTTTGACGTCCTTCCACTAGTTTTATCTCCTCTAACACCGCCCAAGTCAGACCGACACCGCCATTCTCCAGCATTCGCGACCCTCAGGAATGTGTCTGTGTATGCCACATAAAATGTCCTGTCAAAAAAGCCACGGACCGACCCAAGGGTGGAACCAGGGCGGATAAAGGTTGGGCGGTGAAACGAGCGCGTCCGAGCAAAAAGGTGTGATGCAGTGGACTGGGACTCTGCTTAGAAATGTTGCTTGTTTTCGACTTCGGTCATCGGTCAGGGCTTGCGATGTGGTTTGTACATTAGACACTGCCGCTGTCACTGAATTATGGCAGCTTGATTTATTTTCTTGCACTTCTTCCTCGTTCCTTTGTGCTGGTACGCTGCCTCCGAGAGGCAAATGTTGCTATTTTTTT